TCCGGGGCCCCGACACCCCGAGCCACAGCGGGGTACGGGGTCACCAACTCCTCGGCTCCCAGCGCATGGTCCTTGGGCCCACGCTGGGGACCAGCTCTCCAGCAGGCTGATGGGCATCACATTTCTCTCACTTGAGAGGGAAGAGCCTCGGCCATTTTGGCTGGCATGCCTCCTACCGCCTGCTGCCTCCAGCACCCCTGGGCTTGCTCTCCCCAAACCCACGACCCTTGGTGCTGCCCCGGGCAGCCCGACCCCGGCTCACTCACCACAGCGCGCATCGCCAGGCCCCTGGCGCCCGGGGGCAGCTGGTAGCATCGCCTATCTCCAAAGGCGGGTTTGGATAGCGCAGCATCCCTGATGATGGGCAAGGCAGAGAGCAGGGGATGAGGACCAGTACAGCTCCCCGTGCCTCTCACCTCGTACAGCTTCAGAAACATGAGGACAGACTGAGACAAGTGTCTGAACCATCGGGGCCAGAAAAGGGGGGGTCTCTCCCGACCCGCCTCAGGATCCCTCTGGGAGGGCCAACCCCCGACCCGCCTCAGGATCCCTCTGGGAGGTCCAACAGGCACAGGCTGCCCCTGGGAGCCGTGCTTCAACACCCACTGCCCTCCCCATGCCCGGAGTCTGGGGTAAAATCGTCAGGCATTTTCCTTTTGCTCTGTTTCGAGGCAGGTCTCTCAGGGATGCCCCATCAGGGTCAGGCCTTTCTTGGGACAAGGTCTACTAACTGACTGAGCTGAGGCTTGTCTCTAAAGCCACCCTTTGGGGCAACACCGGCTCCTGTGACTCCCCTCCTCACTGCTCCTGGCAGTTGCAGGCAGCTCCCTCTCTGCCTGCCTTGCCACCAGCACCCAGGACGAGCACGAGGTGAAGGGGTGGGATGGAAGATCACCCAAGGTTATCTTCCCACCAGCCAGCCTCTCCGGGGCAAGGTATGTTTGTCTCCCTTTTGCACCAGGAAGTAGGAGGAGAACGCTCCAAAGCGACCAGCATGGCCCCAGCTGTGGCCTGGGCTCTGGCCGAGCCCCGATCCCAAATAACTATCTGGGGATGCACCTCCCGGCCAGCCCGGCGCTGGCTGGGGACGCTCCCAGCTGAGGGACAGACCCACCTGAAGGGGCCATAGAAGCATGAAGCAAACTTGGCGCTGTAGCTCATCACTGAGACCTGCAGAGGAGAGTGGAGCCGTGAGGGCCAGAAGCTCAGTGCTGCAATCCCGCACCGGGGCAGTAGCAATTCCCTCCCACGGCTCTTTTATACTCTGCCCCACATCCCACTTCCCCTGCCAGAGGCCTGGCACCTCGCTGTCCCCGTGTCCGGCTAAGGACATTCCCTTCCTGTGTGCACGGGGGCAGGGAAATGCCTGCGGCATGTCCTGGGCAAGGCTGGGGTTTGCTTCTCCCACCGCTTGCCCAAGACCTGTTCTGGTGCAGCCTCCTTGTGGACGTCGCTCCTGCCTTTGGCACACGCAGATCCCGAGCTCACCTTGTTGCCCAAGTCATTGGAGATCAGTGCCTTCTTCATGGCTGCGATGCGCCCATCCATCATATCTGAGGGGGCAACGATGTGGCAGCCTGCAGGGAATGAGCAGAGATGCCGAGAAGTGCCTGACGCTGTGATTCTGCCTGCAGGAGGAGGTGACCCCAGGGCCAGGGTGGCCCCGGCTGCTTGCAGCTCCGCCAGGGCCAGCGCATGGAGGGCAAGGGGAGCCTCCCCTGGCTCGGAACAAAAGCACTCCCAGTTGGAGCCAGGCCGTTTGCTTTTGGGCCTGCTGAAAGTGAGAGGGGGTGAGTCTGTGAAAGTCAAACTCGGGTACCGCTGCCAGGAGACTCCTCACCTGCTCTGGCATAGGCCAGCGCCACTTCTGCCAGCCGCAGGCAGCTGATCTCGTTCTGGATGGTGCCGTCTTCACGCAAGATGCCTAGGAGACAAACCTGGGGTTAGGTGAGCGGCTGGTCGGCCGGTTGCCTCAATCCCTAGGGTGGGAGCGTGGCTCTCGGTACACAGATGCTCAGAGCAACAGTGGGGAACACATTAAGGGAGCTGGATAAGGACCAGGAGAGCAACAACGCAGCCTGGGACTGGACTCAACATATGGGTGCTCCAGGGAAGGGAAGACAGAGATGGGGTACACAGACGGGTGCTCAGACAGATTGAGATGGCCAGGGAGTGGGTGCCTTAACCACTTGTGCCTCCCACCCTGCTCTCAAAACCTAGGAGATGTCTCCCGGGCTCAACTGCACCAGTACTGGGGAGTCAAGTCTTGGGGCAGGAGCTGGCCAGGCCCCACCAACACCCGGAGCTCCTCAGCAGAAAACAGCAAACCCCCAGAGACTCCCAGTCCCGGGAAGGTGCCCGAAGAGCAGCCCGGGACCCCAGGCTGTGCACTCACCACAGTGCCCGTGGGAGGTGTAAGGGCACAAGCAGACATCACAGGCTATGAGCAGCTCTGGGAAGGTGGAGCGGATCTTCTTGATTGCCTGGATGGCAGGTGTGTCCTCTGCATCAGCAGCAGAGCCTCTCTCATCCTGTGAGAAGAGAAATGCTTCAGCACGCAGAGCTGAGGGTGTCCCACCAACTCCTCCATGGCAGCAGTTCTGCCCAAGAAACATTTTCTGAACTGCTAGACCATGTAATGCAGGGTGGTGTGACTACCAACGATGAAGAGGGTGACAGAGTAGTGCCTCTGAGCAGTGCGTGCAGGTCTTGGGGCCACCTGCAACAGCTCCCAGCGCAAGGCTGGGTCAGGGGAAGCCGTACAGCAGATGGTCTTCTCAAGTCATCCGCCCTGCTTTCTGCAGCACAGAGTTCCCTGTTCTCCTCTGCCCCGCAGTGACACACCGCTTGTTCAAAGGGACAGAGGACACCCAGAGTCACCAGGAACATTTCGGGTGTCGCTGCAGTCTCCCATCCCTGACCTGCTCTTAAAACACACCCAGAGACCCTGAACTGCTCCTGTTTGATCAGGAGACCCCCCGGCCCCATACTGCTCTCTCACACCCCTGTGGCTACACCAAGCCCCCTGCCACCACCACGTGCACTGACCTTGTGGACCTTGCTGGGCACCCCAAAGATGAGCACACACTTCAGACCATCTTCGATGAGGGGACGCAGCATCCCCTCCAGCTTGTTGACTCCGTACCTGAGGAGAGCAAAGTGTAGGGGGCTACCAGGCACCCAGACCTGCTCTGTGGGGCGAGCTGGTCTGTGACTTGGATGCTGGTCTGTGAGCTATCCAGCATCCACAAGCATCCACTCCAAGCTGCAGCTGGAGTTACAGGGGAGGTGTTGCCTGAACATTGGGAGGAACAATCCAGCACCTTATCTGGGGCTACAGGAGCATTATCTACCCGGCATGGACACTCTTTGCTCTGAAAGGACGAGCATGCCCTGCCCTTGGATCCCTTATCTCGGTTTCCTGGTTGCAGATCCAGCCCAGCTCCCCACAGGACCATCCCCCTGGGGCCTCTCTGACCACAGCCCTGCTAATGTAGCAGCAGATGAAGATGGGAGCTGCCAGTCCAGCAAGATCTAATGCAGGACCGGAGCCCATGTCCTTGCACAGGTTTTCTAGCTGCTGCTGGAAAGCCCATTAGCTTCCAACTTTCCTGCGTGCCCAGCCCACACAACGTGTGAGTGCTCTGGGACATCGCAAGAGCCTGGCACTATACCTGCCAGTACTGATACTTTCCCAGCATCCCCAGTATGATTCCCTCCACTTCCATGGTGGACGAATGCTCCCGCCCTGCCTGATGCTGGGGGATCCCCAAGGCAGGGACCAGAGAAGGTTGGAAGCGTCACCCTGGCCCATGCTCATCTCAGGCCATACATCAACCCTGCTCAGGCACAGGGCACGGCAGTGACTGGCACGCAGCTCGGAGGGGCTGCGTTCTTACCTGGCTTGTCCAGGGAGGCTGGGGATTGGCTCCACTGCATCAGGGCTGTCACTGCAGGAGGTGGATGGGACAGAGACGTGAGGATTTGGCATGAGAAGGAAGCCCCTACCCCAGGGAATCTTTTGGGGAGTCTGAACCTATCTAAGAGGTCAGGGAGCACCTGAGCCAGTCAATCTGAGCTTAGTCCATCCCTAACCCAGAGAACCAGGGCTCACTCACGTGACAAAAATGGGGTAGATGAGGTTGGAGGCATCGAAGGTGGTTGCCGTACACTGCCAGGAGCGTAGCACAGGGTGGAAGTAGCCGCTGTGAAGAAGGGAGTCTGCCTGCATCTTGGGCATTCACTAGTAGGCTGTGGAATGAGACTCTGAAACACCAAAAGAAACCGGCAGGCTGGTTAGTGGCAGTGTCCTGGTAAGCTATGGCTATCGGTGCGTGCGAGGAGGGTGCTGAGATCCAGACAGCCACTGCAAGACTGTCCCTGTCCTGCTCCAGGCACATGCGGGGAACGTGAGCTGCAGCTCAGCCAGCTTCAGCCCTGCGCCGGGTGGGTGTTGCAGGACCCTGCATCAGCAGTCACAGCACAGCACTTCCCGTAAACAGGGATGATGCCGACTCCTCTGCACAAAACGTCCCAATTCTGTACGTGAAACCACCAATTTACAGCCATCAGTGTCCTCCCGCAGCCGAACCACGTTCACATGGTTCAACAATACCACCCTTGTCAGGCTCTGTCTGTTTTAGCCTGCGTAGCTGTAACAACAGTTTTCTGATGATAAGATGGTCATTGCTTAATTCATTTTAGTTTTGCTTAACGCTGTATAATTGTGTGATACAGCTTTTGTATACAGAGCAGTAAAAAGCTGCTCTGCGTAGCACGAAGTATTTGTGGCCACGGTGTAAAGGTGCAGTTACAGAAGAGCACAGGCACTGGATGAGCGAGAGGTGCAGGATCATCCTGAAGACACCAGGGCTTTAAACCCTGCCGTCACACTACTCCAGTGGCCGCTTACTGCTGGATAAAGAAAACTTGGGAGTTGGGCAAAACTGATTTCAGGGGTAACAAAGAGAAATTACTCAATACACATAAATGAAGTGTTAGCTATGTTATTGTTGAAACTTTTTCTGTAGAATATTTTCTTCTTCTGTAAGAGTTAGATCTAGTAATAATTCTGCGATTAGACCATTAAGATTTAAATTTCCACTAGCGCTAAATTCTCACCAATATGTGGCTGGTGAGAGCACGACGGAAGGGGCCGGGGGAAGGCGGCTGCCCTGGGACGACGCATTTGGCTGCGGCACAGAAGAGAGCAGCTGTTATGGCTGGGACGCCCAGGGAGCCACAGCCTGAACAACAGACTGTTTGTACAGAGCGGCTTCAAGGACTTCTGCTGGCTGCACACTCAGGGTCACATCCCACAAATGCCCCGTGCAGAGAAGCCAGGGTGCCCCAGAAAACAAACAGCAAAGTCCCTGCTGGAAACCACAGATTTTGTTTTAAGAGCTGAAACCAGAGGCAGGCAGGTGGGAGGAGAGCTGGAGATGGGCTTCTGAAAGAGCAAGTGGGATTCCTCCGCTGGCACCCCAGGCAGGGCAGGGCTTCCCATGGGAGACAGAACGGACACGAGGATGGGACCCGTCTCAGGGGAGAGCCCCGCAGTCCCCAGTCTCATCCCAGGAGGGATTCCCCAGCAATAAACCTCGCTGCCCCAGCTCTCTCCGGAGAGCAGAAACGCTCACTTAGCGTCCCAGGATGCAGTCCGGGAGAGACAGTTTTACAGCAGCACCCGTGACAGCAGTCAGGAACAGAGCTGGGCAGGAGATGGCTCCACTCTTCTGGAAAACCTTTAATTTGAGGTGTTCACCTACTTTACACGCTCAAGACCCTTCAGATATTCTAATGCTGAGCCAAATTCTCAGTCTGTATCAGGCCAGCCCAGTGCATAGGGCACTTGTAATATAGGGGCATCGTGTTCAGTCCAGGGCTTGAACCGAGTCTCTTGTACCCCTAGCAATCACCTTTGCTTGGGGATGGGGGAAAAGGCACCTCTTGGTTACTTACAGACTTATGCTTATAAAAATAGTGTATAAAAAAATCAGATGGTGCTTGTGGGGGATGCAGACCAGCTGACAGGCACACTGGCAGTCTCACGGCATCACTTGGCAAGTAATTTTTAGCCCTGGAAACCTTCTGCTCCAGTCCTTACTCGCAGGGATGGGGACAGCCCTCTGGTGAACTGGAGTTGGCAGCTCCAGCGCAGCGGCTGGGCTGCTCAGGCTGGGCTCCAGGCTGGGCTCCAGGCAGGCAGCAACCGAGAACAAAGGGCTCAGTGAACAAAACCCACCTCGAGAATCCAAAAAATGCTTTAAACAGTTAATCCCACAGGAGGAAGGGGAGGGGGGACAGCATGGGACCAGAGGCACCTGACTCTGTATGGGACAGATAGAGACTGCAGCTCCAGAAACTGCCCTCTCCGGGGAAGGAGGAGATGGGCACCCAGCAGAATTGCAGAGCGGAGATAACATCCAGGATGGGTGGGCCCCGGCAGAACGCCCGTCTGCTGCGAGGCCAGGGGAGCCGGGGCCCTCCTTACGAGCCCCACGTGCAGGAGAAGCTGCCGCCAGCTGCGGGCTCCTCTTGCCCACGCAAGGCACCCGGTCGGATGAGGGCACCGGGGTCTTACAGCCGCAGAGCTGCCGCACGCCCCACAGCTGCCCAACAGCCGGGGAAGGATGGCAGGGATGCAGAGCACGGACTGCTACAGTGCCGCGATAAGGGGACGTCGCACCACACATGCTACGCCCTAGAACTGGGCTGTTTTCCCCAAAATCCCTTTAGGGCTCCCAGCAGAGCACACGCGCCTCTTTCGCCAACATTAAATGCCCAAATAATGTATTTCTAAAGCAATTTGCTTCATGCACACCAGAGCATCAGTAAGCACAAGTTGAAGAACAGCCCTGCAGCGCTTTCCCGAGCAAACGGCTCCGCAGCAGAGTGGTTTCACCTCTGCTCCTTCACACTGGGAGTGCTCGAGGACCAGCCCAAACCTGCAGCACCTGAACCTGCGCCTTTGCCCAGCCCGGGCCCACCGCAGTGACCCTGGGTGCCTCGCTGTATTTGAGAGGAGAGAAGCAACCGCAGAACGAGAGAACCACGCACACGCCGCCCTCCCGTTTGCACAAATGAAACAAACTCAATGGAC